ATAAGACAAGATATGATAATAGAGATTTTTCAAGAATTATATTCACTTAAGCAAAATAGTATAAAAGTTCAGTTTCTGTGGGTCCCGGCACATATTGGGTTGAGAGGTAATGAAGAAGCAGATAATTTAGCAAAAAAGGCCATAGAACGAGAAATAGTTGATAATCAGATTCCTCTTAGTAGGTCAGAAATTAAATCAATTATCAAAATGAATATTTGGAAATTATGGCAGCAGTATTGGGACATAGATACCAAAGGTAGGCATTTGTATCATATACAATCAACAGTGGATAGGGGAAGAGTATCAGGTTGGAGCAGAACTGAGGAGAACATGATTACAAGGTTGCGATTGGGGCATACAGGGTTGAACAGTACAATGCATTTAATAAGTAAACATCCAACAGGGCTATGTGAGGTATGTGACGTTAATGAAACAGTTGAACACGTTATAATGTACTGTAGGAAATATACTGTTGAAAGAAATGAGTTGAAGGATGAACTAGAGAATAAGGGTGAGCGGTTTATAATTAAGAATGTATTAAATCCAGGAAGAAACATGAAATCAGTATTGTTACAGTATTTGGGAAGAACTGGGTTGAACAAGAAGGTATAAGAGTTGTTTTATTTTATTATTTACTTCTTTTTTTTTCTCTCTCTCCTTTCAAATCCCGCTTAAGAGGGCTGAGGGAGGACAGAGGAGCTGAACACGCAGCGCCGGATGAAGCTCTATGACGACTCTAAGCGGGTACAAGAATCAAGGGTGTTTGTATGTGGGTTGGTTGGTAGGTTAATCAGGAGAAGATAGAGTGTCAATGGTCCATTTGAGATATAGGTGGCGGTAATGCACTTATAAGTCTGCGATCCGCCGTAAAGCAACAAGAAGAAGAAGAAGAAGAATAAATATAAACTTTAATTTGAAAATGGCGTCCGACGTGAGCCGTGATGGTTCTGAAAATAAACGCAAACTAGACGAAGATGCAGATGCAGGTGGATGGGTCGGGCCTCTGCCTAGTGAGGCCACACAAACAAAAAAGAAAAAAGGTACGTTAACTTTATTTGTTGCAAAAACCCGGAAGAATCTGTGACTCTAAACCTAGTGAGCTGCCTACCTAGAATCCTAGACAGCGTTTGTGGACATTAGAGTCGCTTAATATGCCTAGATTGTTAGTTAATAAAGTTTTGAGACACAACCTATACTAGATAGCCGTTTCAGCTCGCATGTCTTCTGCCTTCATAGCAACTACATGACTTCATTTTACTCTTTGGTTCAGACTGAGATGCGTTTATTAATGGATCATATGTGTTCTGCTGCAGTTCTTGAGTATGAAAGATTGTACCTGGACAATTTACCCTCTGCCTCCATGTATGAGAGAAGTTACATGCACAGGGATGTTATAACACACATAGTTTGCAGCAAGTAAGTTCCCTCCAACTTGCCACCTCAGAATCGTTGTCTATATTAATAATCTGAATATTATTTTTATTGCATACCTGGTCAGGCCAGTAGTTTTTGTCAACCCCACCACGAATATATATATATATATATATATATATATATATATATATATAATT